GACTTCACATAGAATAATCATTATCTAGAAAAGCCATGGGTCCTCATTTAGTTGTTAGAAGTCTGTCCTGATTGTACCTTCAGTGTTGCAGGCAAAGGTGGTTGCCCTCAATTAGACAGGCACCTTTTGGACATTTTAAAGTCAATAAAAATTCCTACAGTTCCTTGAGGGCAAGAACTGCAAAATACACAGTGGGTACATATGACATTGGGGGTAGGAATGTGTGAAGCAGGATGCTGCCAAACACCCTGGAGAACCCAATGGTCAGACGGCAACCTCTGCTTCCTTCACCCCACGACCACAGAGCCTCTCCTTCTCTCTCCTGCTTCTGCTCCTCTCCACCCTCCAACAGTGGCTTAAAGCTCAGGGTCACACTAGGCTCAGGCTAAAGTCAATGTGTGGGCCATTAGCCTGTACAAGTACTAGAAATCACCACCCTTCTCTTTTTAAAGAATGCCTCTGAAAAACTTCTTAAAGAAAGTGCAAACGAGGGGCACCTGGGTTGCTCAGTCTGCCTTTGGCTCAGGTCATGATCCCAGGGTCCTGGGATCGAGCCCCATGTCAGGCTCCTTGCTCAGCGGGGAGTCTGCTTCTCCCTCTGCCCCTTCACCCCACTCATGCTCTCTCGCAAATAAATAAATAAAATCTTTATTAAAAAGAGAAAGTGAAAATATTAAAATACTATCTAATTATTGTGGATTAGTTCATCAGACAGCTGCTTTTTGGTAGAGGAAAAGGATCTAACTTGTTATGCTTTGACAAGGTAGATGGGAGGATAGGAAAAAAGATGATGAATGAATATTAAGCCCTGGGATCTGAACAGGATGGCACACTGTTTAGGGGCTATAGGCGGCAAAGCACATCAGAAGGAAAATGACTTAACCCTTCCCAGGTTCAGTTTCCTCATCGACAAATGAAAACATTAATAGCACCATTACATAAGATCCTCTGTGTAATGCAGCTGGCCTTATGCCTGGCTTGTACGAGCTGAAAAAAAGAAAATGTGAGCAGAGATAGCATTGTTGAAGTTATATTAATAATGATGATGATTGTTATTACCATTATCCGTAGTAACAGTAGTCCTGGTGGAGGCAGCATATGGTGACCTCAGGGTTAAGTGAAACTGATAGAGAAACTCATTAAATGACAGAATAGAAAATTCAATGAAAAAGTGGGGGCAGGGGTGTCAATACCAATCCTTCAAGACACCATAACTTTGTCTAGGATGAGCTACAAGGGAGATATCTTGGCGAAGTGATTTTAGAGCCAAACACACAGGGACGTGAACCTTTAGCTCTGTCACTTGAGAATGTGTGACTTTAGGAAGTCCGGAAACTTCCCAGAGTCTCGGGGTCTTTATTTGTAAAATGGGAATAGTCATACCTATATGCAGAGGACACATATAAAATAGATGTAACATGCATAATGTACGTAGGGCCCAGCAAATATGTCCCTTCCTTCACCTGGTGGCCAAGCTCTTTCTATGGTTGGCAGACTGCAAAATGAGGAATCCGTCTGGGGAGGTGAGACACGGGAGAATGAGCATGGGGAGCTCTTTGTTAAGAGCAGAAAGAGGTCACCAGCTTCCTTACATTCCCCTCCCGCTGGGGGAACTGGTGGAATGTACAGTAGGGCTGCTAAATGTTAGAACTTGTACCCATATTTAGTTACAGCATGTAGTGGAATAATTCTGAACCCACTGATGTAATGCGCTACTGCAAGATGGAAGCCATCCAGTGAAAAGGAGCCCCAAAATAGGTTTTCATGGAAATTTAACTCTGAACATTCTGATTTTGTACCTTACCATAAATGAGATCTGGAAAACACTTTTCTGCCATAAAATTGAAGATAATTTCCTAAAGATATATAAATTTAATGGCTATAAATACCTTCCCATCATCACTCCAAGATATTTATCACTTGATCTGAGTTGTACGGAAGATATGCCATCCGTGACAGTCAAAACAAGTTTAAGAATTCTTTCCTATTTTAAATGTTATTTTCCTTGATGAAAATTTAATTCCATTGAAAAAAGAATCTTCAAAAATCACCTCATTTCTATTCTCAATGTTCCTGTTTTGACGACTTCATTCTTTACCTTTTCTTTTTCTAAATTCACAGAATACACTTGCTGTCGTGCGAAGACAGGCCCAAGACTTTGTTTTCTTAAGGTGTTGTGAAGGGAAACTAATATCAATTTTGACATTTTAAGTGCACTTTCAGAAAACCCTCTTTCTGATTTATATTAGCATTCCTGACACTGATGTGTGTTATATGTCATTAGTTACTTAAATGTTTTCTATAATTATGTAAATTATGTTGACACTGTCTGGTAGGATGCTTACGCTTTACGATTTTGTCATCCGCAAAGTTCTAAAACGTATCTGATACCCATTTTCAAGTATTTTCAAATTAGACCGTTGTTAAAGGGTTCTTGCTCTCTTGTTGCCTTCTTTGCCTATAATGCTTAGTCTGGTGCTTTGCATGAGAGGCTCTTACAAAAATATACCCTGTTTCCTTCTCCCCACAGACTTTAAAACAAAACAAAACAAATAGGATAACCAACTTATGATCATGGTCCAACAGAGCTCATGGTCAGATGGGGGAGGTCCAGTCAGGTCCAGGTGTCCAGATTATGACAGGACCATGTGGAAGACAGGGATTATTAATAAAGGGGTGAAAGACTACCATGTCAGAGGAGAGAATGGCTCACTGTCCAGATGAGCCATGGAAAGCTCCACAAATGAAGCGACCTCTAATCTGGGCCATGAGGGTTCCATAGGAGTTTGGTGAGTGAAGAAGTCAGGAGAACATCCCAGGCAGGTGCACAGATAGAGAGGCCTGGCCCAAAGGATGAGAAGTCAAGGAAGCCTGGGCTGCAAGAGCCTAAGCCTGGCTGACCACCCTGGACAGCTAGAGCCCATTGGGAATCACGTGTGAAGGCCCTCAGAGGCAATCAGGGAAAAGGTCTTTATTCTATACACAGTGGAGCCACTGAAGTTCTCTAAGCAAAGAACAGATGGGATCTAACTTTTCAGAACATAAACAACATGGTGTGGAGGACAGACAGGTGCACAACCTCTCTGTTTGAGCAGCCTCGAGCAATATATTGAAAACCACAAAAGGGAAAACAATCTCCTTGCATCTTAATTAGGCTTATCTCAAATAGAAGATCGTACAGTTGTTGCTGGGTGGCTCATGAATGCATGGGAACAATAGATACAGTGTCCTAAGCAATCCTCAGAGATACTTGAAGAAAACAAAATGATAAATGTGGAACCTTCACTTAGTAGCGTAGAGCTCCAAGAAGGACTGTGGTCCACAGTACCTCTGCCGTATTACTGATGGCATGGCAATATGGTCCTGCCATATTGTGGGTGGGGACATGACCTACCAAACCTCTGCAGAGCCTGATGTGAGGACATGGTCTGCCATACCTCTGACAAATCCATGTGTGAGGACATGGTCTACCATGCTGCTGCCACATCCCTGTTTTAGGATGGGCATGGTCTACCTCACCTACACCACATTCAAGTGTAGAGCCCTAAGGAGGTAGTTGTTCTTAAACCCACTACTGCACAGGCTGTAGAAACAGGCACAAAAATTGATGTAACAGGAGGTGAAGGGAGGTATGTAATTCACCTTTTCTGAGCCAGGATCATAATGATGAAAGATGTTGACAAAGGAACAAAGAGAAATATTTAAAATGAATGAAGTATTAAATGCATGAATGTATGAATAAATGAATAATAAATCATGCGTTAGAAGCAAGAAGTAAACAAAAACCTAAATATAAGGTAGAAGGAAATACAAAGAGAGGTATTATTTTTAAAAATAAAGAAGAAAATAAAGGAAGACGAGTCAGAGAAAGAGATAACACGAAAAGGTAAACACAGTGATCCATATATGCACTTAGAGATTTTTTTCTTTTTTTCATTCCCTTAGAAGCTTGTTTACCTTCCTCACAGGCTTTTGTGTGTCTTGATGAGTAGAGATGAATAGATGGAGAAATCAGAACCTAGACTCCCCAAAAGACTAGCTCTTCCTTCATACTCTTCTCAAACCATCTGTTAAGGGTTTAAGGTTTTATCTGGGGGAAACCTACCCCACGTTAGAAATCACTAACTCTCTGACCTATCTGTTCTAAACACACATCTGTCCATACCTCATAGCTTCAACCTGGGGAGAGGGGTGGGAAATCACATTTTCTAAATCTTAAGGAAACAGTGTAGGAAATGTGTTGTGGGTGGAAGTTCCCAGAATTATGTGGGGCATCCATGAGTTCTACCGGACACCTCATGGAGGTAGGTCCTCTCTCTCATCTTGGACTATCCTAGTGATCACTGTTTCAGGAGATAGACTGCCCACAGAAACCGTGATGCTTCCGGCAGGCCGAGAGAATATGGTATTTAGGACAGGCTTGGCACATCCTCGTCCAGAGAGGATGCAAACCAGTGGACACTTTCCTTCCTCTCGCAACTGTACAGCTCAGCAGGGAGGCCTCAATTGGTATGGGGGCTACCTATTCATCAGCACCACACAGGGCAATCATCAGTTAAATAGCAGTTAGTTCTCTTCGGGAACAATGTGAACTACCCTCCTGGAGGAAAACGGAGGCCACAATGGGCCAGGGCCCTCGTTGTGGGTGCAGGGGGCGGCCCTCTAATAACACACCAAACAGGCAGCCCTGTGCTGGCAGGCCACCCAAGCACATTCAGCGGGAGGTACCGCAGGCTCAGGAAGCCACTAACACACCAAGCCCCTTATTTGCAGCCCAGGGAGTGCTGGTGCCAACCTTTCACAAATCAGAAAGTGAATGGGAAGTACTATTATTTCGGTAGGGAAACTAATGTTTGCTCCCAGGTCCCAATTTAAGGAGACATTAAGAAAGAACTGCCGATTCTAAAGATGGAGAAAATTAACAGGTACAGGAGAACTCTGAGTGTGGGCTCAGAATGGGACTGAGGGGACAGACGGGAGGCTTCAAATGGTCCTCTTACCTTTTTGTCACTCAGGCCAGAAACCTGGTCCACATACTCCTCCTGGATCATGAAGGCAGCTAAGTTGGCAGTGTAGCTGGCCAGGAAGATGACGGCAAAGAAGGCCCACACCGACACCATGATCTTGGAGGTGGTGCCCTTTGGGTTCTGCACAGGTACGGAGTTGTTAAACACCAGACCCCAGAGTAACCAAATAGCTTTGCCGATGGTAAAAGATGGGCCGCCTGGCTCTGTCATGATGAAAAGACAAGGACAGAAAGTTAAGACAGAGTCACCGGTCCTATTTAAACAGAGAGACCAGCTCTGTGTAGACAAATACACAGAGCTGGTCAGTTCCTGCTCAAAGCAGGAAACCCTCCAACTAAGAGGCAGACATTTTTAAGTTGAGAGTTTGTGCCTCTCTTCTGGGACCCCCCAGGAAGGCAGAAGAAGGTTCTTTAGAAGAAAATCCAGGAGCCTGGGGTGTGTGTGGGATCCTGCTTCAACTAACAGTCATGACTCAGCCAGGGCACTGGAAGAGCCAGCTTCCTGCCCCCATGTAGACAAGACTCTCAAGACCACATGAAAACTGAATGACAAAGGCAACTACCCTATTACTGTCACATGCACATCCTCATTACTGCTGTTCCCTAAAATTTCTATTTGTACCTGCCAAGAAAGGATTTCAACTTCAAAAAAGGTCAACAAGAATCATATGGAATGTTCTTCTACCTTCGGCATGGACCTCCTACAATTTTATTCACACGGATGCTAGATGGCTTTGAATGTCCTTTATCCTAATTTTTCTTTAGCTTCTAGCACTTAACACCAAATGTTTCCAAGACAACCTCGACCCCACTCCAATGCCAACGCATCCCAACTGGGTTTCCAACCACGGTAGCTTCTGTGTACAAGAATATCAGGAAGCCCAGGGAGGAAGTCACAGACCCCTGGCTTGGCCACGCTATCTGAGGGCAGAAAGGCAGACCGTCTCTGACCCTCCTCCACCCAACCTTTACATTCACAGTGTCAAGGCTTCTGCCCAGAGATTTATTGTTGCCTCGCTGCTTTCAATGCTTGGCGATGGCAAAATCTCGCCTGATGTCTGGGTCTACATGTAGCCATGCAGAAACGAACATCTGCCTGCACAGTTTCACCACACATTAGCACAGGTCTTACGACGTTATCTGTGATCCTGATAGCATCTGCTCTGACAACTAAATCAGTGACTACACATGTCAAGCCTCGTATCTAACCGTGTGCACACATCTGTGCATGTGGGCCTGATTTCATGGAACAGATGTGTAACTCCAAAGTTGTTCATAAATCAAAGCTCTCTACATTGTAAAATGTCCCAAGGAGACTTGATATTTAAAGCGGTCCCATGTGGAATTCCTTCGTGAAGACAGGCACCCCTTGGTCGCCTAAGTAATTGTAAGCCCTTGCTTTGAATTTTGTGGCTGGATTTTGTGCCTCCTTAATTTTCTTCAAGGTGAAGGGACAACATACACTCTCTTGAGCTCTTGATGCTGTCAACATATGTACATACTCAGGTGTTTCTCAGATGTTTTGCTTGTTACTAATGCCCCTCGGGATGGGGAGCAGGTCATGGCTTCTGGAAGACCCTTTGGCACAGGCGCAAAGCCCCCTGATTGCACCATATTGTGGAGACATTCAAACTTCCAGGCCAGAATGGAGAAGCTGAAGAAGAAGGTAGGTCAGCACCTGGAAATGCCTCAGGGCATCAGTGGTTCACAACCTGGACTGTTAGAAGTACTAGGGGAGTTTTCATACAACACTGCTGCCTAGCTCCCCAGCCGCAAAGATTCTTATCGAATTGTGGTGGGTGGTTATTCTAACCTGCAAACAAGGTAGAAAACCACTATTTTGAAACATAGTAGTGGTCCAAGACCCACCCTGGAATTAGTGAGTCAGAATATTAGAAAATGAGGTCCAAGCACCTTTGTCTTTTAAGTGCCCCACAGATCATTCTTTGTGTAGCTGGGGTTAAAAAAGGCTTCCCTCTTGGAGGCATAATTTCAGAATAAAACTCATTCTGGATGGGAGAAGACTCAGAAAAAAGTATAGTAGTTCCTAATTCTGGGATTCTCAGAAAGTTTCGGATGAGTTATTTATAGGGGTCCCAAGCCCCGCTTCAAGAATCTAGTAAATGTTTTGTGAAGACTCATAAATGCCTCGAACACATGGGCAGCCCTCATATCTCTGGACCCACTTAGCCAGAAAATTGGACTGCCCCCAACAGTAGCTATGGGTGAAAATCGCTATCTGCTGCCCATTTTATTTCAACCACCCAATGTCTATACTCCCTGGCAGGGGTAGCTGCGCCAGGGTCATAGGCTTTGGCGGTCTTGTACCTCAGAAGTGGAGAACTCCTTCAGCCACAACTACCCTGCATATATGCCGGGGCAGCCTAATTTTTTTTATTCTTAATATATGGAGTATATCTGCCTTGTTCGTCCATCTGTTCAAACAGACTGCTCACAGCATAAGGTTATCAAAATAGTTTCCTCTGACATGTTTATGCTACGCGAATCTACGACCAGCTTCCCTCTCATTTACCCTGGGGAAGAACTGGGCTCGCTGGGTGACGCTTCTGCCAGCGAGGGACACAGAGATCCAGACTAACCTCTTAATTGGGGTATTTCTAATGAGTTGCCAAGCTGTTGACATAGAAGGCTGAAGGTTCATTTTCAGAAATGGGTAAGTCAGGGAGCGGGCAGACACCAAATGAGGATTAGAGAGACTCAGAATGGAGAACAAGAGACGACAATGCAGAAATGTAATAGCCGTAGCTGGTCTTACCTCTGCCATCAGCGAGGCACCTGTTATAACCCACAGGGCTGAAGTACTCGAAGACAAAGACAGCCACGGCTGAGACGATGAGGAGCATCACGAACATCATAACCCATACGTCAGCACTGAATGGCTCTGGGGAAGGAAAAAAAAAATCAGTGCTCAGAATTAAAACAGAGAACAAACAGATTCTGATGAATTTGCGTATTCATTTGCTCGGGCAACGTGTATTTTGTTGGGGGGAAACAAACCACAGGTGTGTTGCGTCTCTCCCGAGAGCCAGGGCCTGCGTCGGGAAGGAGTGACAGGCTGTGTCTGAGTGTCTCCATTGCCCTGATGGGCAGGTCAAGGTCTATTTTCTTTCAAACACATGAGAAAGAAGAGCTTCTTGCCTATGAACTTTTTGAGATAGTTTCTGCTATTGCCAGGAAATGTTCATCTGCAAGAAGTACTAGATTGGGGTAAGTGAATCATAGGGAACAGGTTCTTGGTTTATGTTGTCCCCTATATGGTCACACCACATGATGGAAGCCTGGAAAAGCTTTCACCAATGCTTCCGAACCTTGTGTGCAAATTCATCCTCCACAGATGTTAGTTGCTATTTCAGGCTTGACTTGATTTGGTAATAACTATATCCAATGAGTAACTCTTTTGCCCCCTTGCCTCAGCTCTCCTAAACTTCCTAGTCTACATTGACTTTACAACCCACTTGGATGTGGTGTATTTTATGGGGCATCATTAGGGCATGAGAATAGAAGTCAATGTCAAAAAAAAAAAAAATCCATCCACATTGACAATCAGTATCTGTAACAGTGGGAATGTAGCCCGTGACAAGGGAACATGCCTCAGCTGTAATTAACAGAACAACTACAAGTTATTCCCTCACACCAAGTGAAAGCATTGATGGGATAAGACCAGGCAAGAGAGTAAGAATGTTCTCCATGTGCTTTCTTTAGTTTCTTTAATCATTCTTGCTGAATCCCTTCCGTGGATCTCAAGCTCTCTGGCTTGGAGGTGTCTAGAAATTGAACACTGTATTCCAAGAGCCACCTCTCCGAAGGCCTACAAAAAGGGACAATTGCTATGCATTCCCATGATACGATGTTCCCTCAATTGTGTCTCAAAATAGCTCTGGCCTTTTTAGCTGTCACATCACATTGTAAACTCATAACTAAGTGAATTAACATACTGTTTTTTCCATCTTCCAAATCATTAATAAAGATGAAGTTGAGAAAGGAGAAAAATTGCCTGGAAATTAGAAAATATTTTCTTTACTTGAAACCTACTTTACTTTTGCACTTTTGAAGGGAATGATAAAAACCCGGTCACTTGACAATTTAAAAAGGACCCTGATAAGGCACATACCGACCGTGAAGTGCAAAACCTTTCAGTGGCAGCCAGGGACATGAGGGCAGCAGGTTTAATTCAAAGCCTCTATATGGTGGAGCAGGGAAGCCCCCCACCCCCTCGGTGCTCACTGATTGCAGTCCTACCCTGATTTCATTGCTGACTAAGATCAGAGAATAACTGAGTAAAAGCATCCTCTCCAGGCTTTCTTTTCCCCCATGGAGCCCAGGGCAACCTTCTGTACACAAAATATCACAGACATTTGTATTGGTTTTTACGATTTAGAAAGTACTTTCACCATATGTTTTATATAATCCTTATAATGGCCCTTTCATTATGGTATTACCATATCTATTTTACAGAAGTCAAGGTCTTTTCCAAGTTCCTACTCAGAAAGTGGCAGGGCCAGGTTATAGTCTGAGGTCTTCTGGGGCAAAGTTTGTACTTTCTCATTGTATTATATCACTTCCTTGTCTCTGCCCTTCACATCGGTGCTTGATTTAGGAGCTGCACTCTGAAATGTCCCCATGAGAACTGGAGCACAGGCTCTGAAGGCAGTTTTAATCCTAGGTCTGTCAGCTGTGAACTGACAGGTTGTTGGAAAATTGCTTACCGGGTCTAAGACTCAGTTTCCTGAGCTATAAAATGGGTATAATAATAGTATCGATGAATATCAGTGAGATAATATAACAAAAGGATGTACAGTAATGCTTGGAACACCACATAACAGGTGTTCCATAAATGTTGGCTTCTTTTACCCCTGCAAATAACTGCTTCTCCTCTGAACACACACACACACACACACACACACACACACGCACGCACCCTGCCGGGCCCTGCTATGTCATTCTAGGGCTATGCTGATATATCACTGGCTCTTCCAGTTCAGAAAGTGAGGTTAGTGCTATACCGATGGGTAAGAATTAGAATGTAGTTGTGTCTGTATCTCTTAATGTTCCAATTATCCTTGCAAAGGAAAAAAGCAAATAAAATACATAAAGCTGCTATGAGGATTAATGCATATAGTATGTGTGCTATCTAATAACATTTCACATAAAATTGGCAGGGCCAGAATCCGCCTCACTGTACGCAGGCTAGCTGAGAAACTTGAGTAATTTATGGAAAAATTCTATGGGACCTATAACTCCACTTTATAGTACATTAATTAAAAACTTTCCCCTCCCCCCCTTGCCCGCTGGAATAGAGCTTAAAGAAACATTAGTCAAGGTTTATTCCAATATCCTCATGGAGAAAAAAAACAAAGTTGATGTCTTTCAGAGAGTTTGTGACTCATCCAAGGGCTTATGGTTTGTTTATGGCCAAGCCAGGCCTCCTGTCTCCTAGCCCAATGTCCTGTTCTCAAGGTGACATTTTATTTTCCCACCCCTTGCTCTCACGGCCCCTGCAAAAAAAAAATGGGGTAAGAGCTCACAAAGGAGCTCATCTAATTGGAATCTTGGCCTTATCTCACCAGGTCTTATATCGTATCTAAGGTTTTCAACACAAAAAGTGATGCTGGAGAGTAGGGAAGTACAGAATGGAACAAGGAAGAACGGGGTAGAGTGGAAGGCAGCATCGGATCAGCTGTATCTGACAAAGCTCAGAAAAATGCATGTAAAAACAGAAAACCTCTTTTGGGAGCATGGAGCTCAATTCTTGAAGATAATTAAAAAAGTATTTCAATGATAGCAAGAATTAGAGATTATTAAAGCAGGAAGTAGTCTCAGAGATCAGCTGGTTGAAATGGCTTCTTCTATGGATGAAGGAAACTGAGTCCCAGGATGGAGCACATTTGCTCAGGGTCAAGTGATGAGTAAGTGGCAGGAATGGGACTAGAGTAGGAGCCCTGACTGCCCAGCCAGCACTGTTTTCTTACAGGGTCATATGCTGTCCTATTGGTTTTGGGTATTTTTCAGTGTTCATGTTTGAGAATAATCGAATTTGAAGTCCCCCAAATTAAATAAGCTCCTGTCAAACCAACTCCTGGCTGAGACAGCCTGGCCACGTGCTCCTGCCCTTGATCCTTATACCAAGTGCCTGTCCTTACGTCCATGTGCTTCACACGGGCAAGCGTAGCACTTACCTAAGAAGGCAGAAGGTGAGACAGTCCCGTTGCTACGTGACACCATGACACTGATACCGGTCTCTATGAAGGGCACAGAGAAGTCGACCACCTCAGATCGCTCTTCATTGATGGTGAGCGACCCCACCGCCATGTAGGCCCTCTTCATGACCACCTGGGAGAAATGTACAGTGCTCCAATTAGAGGGCTCGGGAAGGCAAGGGGCCGCCGCATGGAGAACAGAGCCCAGCAGCGGTTTCCTTAGTAGAGTGGGAATGGGAAGTCTATTCACTATTTTCTACTTTTTAAAATTTATAGAGGAGCATTTTTTTTTATATTGGCAGGAAACAAAATACATGAAAAATGGAAATGGCTCTGACGTTCTGACACTCACCTCTCCAATCATACCGTTCCAGGTTCCATTGATCTTCTTCCCATGCTTGCCATTGGTAACCAGGTAAAGATCATAAGTGAACTTCACAGATTTAGAAATTTTCTTAAGGATGTCGATACAGAACCCCTTGCAGCACTTTTTAATGTAACCTGGCTCCTCATCTGTTTTATTCCTAACCAGTTGAAGAAACAAAAAAACAAAACAAAACAAAACAAGGCTTTATACAAGAGGCAGGTATTACCCTTTACCATGAAAACTCCAACCCAAAAGCAGGTCTTCCCCTTCACCGCTCAGCACAGTGTGTATCAGACCTGAGTGAGGAAATAAATGAGAGCACAGAATCGTGATTCTTTCATTAGCTCATCATATTGAACCATGTTTTCTCACATTTTTTAGTGCTCCTTTGAAGTATAATGTACATTAGGAAGGTGCGCCTACCCTAAGGGTTCAATTAGATAAATTTGCACACACTGAACGCACCCATTTAACCAGCACCAAATTGAGATACAGAAAAACTACCCTTTTATATTCTCTTCCAGGCATTTCCCATCCTTATCAAAGAGAATCATTATCTGACTTCTAATGGGATAGCAGCTTATTTTTACCTATTTCCAAAAATGTTTCTAAATCTCAAAATTTCAGGGCACAATGGCTCAAGAAAACATGGTTCAACACCAATGCAAATTTGAATCTCTATAAATTTGAGGTCCTGGCTGTTGAGAACAGGCAAGGCCAAAAAAGATACTTGAGCATAGTTAGCAGTAAGTCTCCCAGGTCAGGATCTGGACAGAACCACAGGGCTGCTCCGTAATTCCATTGCTCAGTAGCAACTGAAAATTGAACATGGTGCCCAATTCATTCTATGCCTCAGGTCCCCGCCCAGGCAGGTGCTGACAGCTGTATTAAATGTGCCTATCCCACGCCACCCGGAGCACTGGGGAAGGGGCCATACTCAGAGACTATGCGTTTTTGGCAGGGGACTGTGTTCCTCATGCAGGTTCCACTCAGAGGGTCCACACTTTCCACAATGACAAAGGGGGCCTCCTCCAGGGTTACAATGCTCAGATGGTCATCCTCCTGTTCTTCTGTTTCAGGACACATTCGGGGCCACACGTAGTACTTCATCTGCAGGGACTTGTCTTTCCACTTGCCCACCTGCACGGGGGTAAACAAAAGACTCAGAAACCACTGGCAAGAGGCCTCAGCAGCCTCTCCTGGTATCACCCAGGAAGCTATTAAACAAAGGTAAATAGTCACAGGCATTGAACGTAGTAGAGGGGAAATTCTTTTTAACCTGTATGCTCAAAAGGAGTCTACCATGTCCATATCTAAGAAAGGTAATATATTCATTTGCTCACTCACTTACCAAACACTAAAAGAGTATCTACCATGTGCTGGGCACACTGCAAAACCTTGGGGCTCAACGAAGCATCATTCTGCCCTTCATCAAGCTCACATTGAGTGAAGGAGTCAGAAATGTAAACAAATGTTTACAGTGATAGATGGTAAGTGCTAACACAGAAGCTCATACAAGTGTTGGGAGGATGCTGGAGTTTCCTGCTTTGACTGGCTGGCGGTTTTTTTCCTACTAAACTCTAACAAGGAGCATGATAGTGAGAGCAGCAAATAGCTCTGGAAAGGTCAACAGAATGACTGGAGCAAATGAGCCAGAAGGATGTGCTTTGGCTTGTAACAGAAGTCCAGTGGGAAGCCATGTGGAGAACTGGGTAGATCTGAATTGGAATAAAATGATGTCAGGATTAAAAAATACTGATGCAGCTAGCTTAGCTGGGGAAGAAAGCATGGTTGGGCTGGTGGTGAATCCCATGGGTCAAGGCAGATATGCACCTGCTGGGTTGGGTGGGATGAATCACATGGGTCTTTCTGTGTGCACAGGCTATGTCCCCCAACTTCAGGCAGCACCATTCAAACATAGTCCGGTGTGATAAGTGGGTGCCCCCTGGAATCATTCACGTGGTGGCCCTGCTGCCAATCATTAGGAGAAATGTGTGGGTTCCATTATCTTTTCGAAGAACCATTCATTCCTATTTTTGTAATAGAATCTGTAGGACTTTGTTGGTGGGTTCTTGTTCTCACTCTGCCCTTGAGTTTCCTGAAGAGGGAACACCTTTTCATTTTCTATAACCAAACATCTTCAATTACCCCAGGAATTATGGATTCAAAGCTCCTGCATTTTCCCAATCTATAATTTCCTCCATGCAGCAATGCAAATTAGCAGCGTAAGTGTGGCACCGGGACTACAGAACTACTTAATTATCAACTACATAAATCAATAAGGAGCAACAAATGGGAAGCACTTCGTAAGTTTTCAAGGAAAGAGGCTTAGATTTCCACATTCGTACAAAACCAAAATTCCTTCTTTTGTGTCTGCTTTTGTCTACAGTTAGGTTTCTACCTGGTAACTCCCTGGGTGTGGTTTGTATCTCCCTCCCACTTGCCTAGTAGGCACCACCTACTTCTACACCCATTATTAGGTCTGTATAGCCGTGGCCCTTGTCTTACTGTATCACTATAACATGGACAGTGGCTTGGCGTCCTGGACCAACTTGGGCATTAACCTTGGTGCTATTTTTCTTCCAAGTGTATAAGCCATATTTCACTTTTGTATTCAGAATTAGGCACTGAACCAAATGTTTTCCTTTTTGTGTATCGTCTTCTCCTAACTGAAGGTCCTATTTTGGTGCAAGTCTGTTTTTCTTCATACTGCTAAGAGTACTTATTTCTCAAGGAGAACTATCCATTCCCAGCCATATGGGGATATTTATGTCTTCGGCTAGTGGTTAGAAGGGAGGTAGAGCTTGGGGGAGGGGAGGCCCCACCCTGGGGGCCCATGATGTTGGGTCACCTCCAACTCGCCCTATTTATCCCAGTGGCCAAACTGATATCATTTTCTGCGTGTTCAGTGATGGGGAAAAGTTAAGAATCCCTCATGTACATATTTTTATTTATTTATTTATTTCATTTTTGTCATTTTCTCCCAATAGTCTCTTTGGGGTCTTTTCTTTTAAATCCAGATTTCTTCTCTTCTATCTTACTGCTATTAGCCTAGTCCAGTGGTGCAGCAGCCCATCTGGGATTGCTGCAGGCAACTTCCAGCTTCACACAGGGTACCCACCCCCCAGAGAGCACTGTGGACACTGCTGTCAGATGGCTCTTCCTAAAACATCACTTGGTTATATAACCGCTATTTAAGAATTCCAACAGCCTCTCATTGCCCTCAGGATGTGTCCAAACTTCTCACCTACATGGTCAAGGTGTGTGCATTCAGCTTCATCTACCTTGACAGAGTTAACTTCACTATTTTGAAATATGAATCCTTTGTTCATATTGGGAAAGGAAGTTATTGGTATTGAGAGCTAATACAGGTTAATCAGGAACAGGTTTCAACAAGCAAGCAGCCTTTTCTTTTCTAATAGACTTACTCTATCTGTAAGACAAAAATGCTGCGGACATAGCATTTTGGCAAAGTTTCTCATGACACTCTTGTGAACATGGAATACGATATCAATTATTGTATACTTTGACAGATTTGAAAGGAGTTTAAAATATTTATTAAACAAAAGATTGTTTAATGAATCAATGCCAACAGGGAAAGGGGTCTTTAGTGATGTGTCAGGAGATTCTGTTCTTACAAGTGGCCTGCATAGTGTTTCATAAAACCAAACAGAAGTAACGCTTACCACACTGCAGATAACACAAAGCTAAATGGGATAGAAGATATACTGCATTGCAGAATCAAGGTTGGAAGTGATACAAATTAATTGGAATGGGCTAAACCAAATGGAATGACATTTAATAATATTTATACATGAAGTTGAGCATTTAGATTTTATAAAAAGCAACTGCATAGTATTTAAAAGGAGATATTTCAACTAACAGCAGTTTATAAAAGCTATTGCAATAACAAATGGTATATTTATGGATGTACAGTATCTAGCACATGGGGTGAGGGAAGGGCACAGATGATCCCACTCTGCTCCGTGTTCATCATACCACAGCTGGGAAACTAGCTGTTGATCCTATAATTCTGTGAGAAATGATTTTTATTTACTAGATCATTCTCCTTTATCCAAGAATAACCTGCATACCGAGTACCCACTAGCATACCTTTTCTCAACTTTCCAATAAGCTAGCCGGGTCATTCCTTGCTTCACTTTAGTTCAATTCAACCTACAGCAACTGCATGCTAAGCACTGGGCTATGTGTTACAGATAACAATACCAGGTAGCATTTAGCAAGGGCTTAGGATACAGTAGGCACTGAATGAACATTCTAAAAATCTCATTAATCATCGCAGCAAGCTTGTGAGATGGGGACTATTATTTAATGTCTCATTTTACAGATGAGAACAGAGGGGTTTGATGACTTACCCACACTGTCATGGTGCATGAGTGCAATGTCAGGATTTGAAGCTGAACGATCTGGCTCCCGAGCTTGGGCTGTACCCACTACCCAGCACTGGGGCTCTGACCTTGAAGGAGTAAATCACGATCCCTATCCTCTGAGGACAGTCAAGTGGGGAAAGACACTATCTATTGATGATAACATCAAATTAGGCTTTGGTAATGACCTAATAAAAGGTATAAATAAAGTACTCTGGGATTCAGAATAGAAGTGATTATTTCTGAAAGTGTCGGGGAAAAGCTTGATAAAGACCCTTTATCTTTGAGCTGGGCCCTGAAATGTGATAGTGCCTTAGGTGAAGAGTACTCTGTTCACCAAGGCAAAAGCAAGAGCAAAGGATCAAAGTCCACTGTTGCTCAAAAGAGAGATCAAGGATAGTCCTTCACAGCTGAAAGGTATGGTGTGTGGGGAGAAATGGTCTAACTCAGTTTTCCTCCTCCTTAAAGACCTGTTCATTCTAGCCGGACAATCTTCATTTTCTAGAGAGCCAACTGGATAGCACTCCTCTCTTCACAACTCCTTGTTCAATGGCGTCACGCTGATAGCTTGAAATTAGCTGGGGGCACCCATGAAATTGGCAAACACCGTAATTCTGGGCTTCCCCTGTCCATCCCCCAGTTATTAAATATTTTCCAACCCAAAAATGGCCCAGAGTAACCAAATCATTCATTATTTCATGCTATTCACTACCTTATTTAGTGACTTTAACTTTTCAGGAGTCTTGTCTCCTACCCTAAATTCTGAATGTAACCCTAAGTATTTTTGTGACCACGGACAAATGTTTAAAACTGTTAGTCTCAGTTCCCATATCTGTAAAATAAGGGAATGATTTCTAAGGTGCCTTGCATAAAATCTCATGATCCCAGGATCTTTTTAGGACTGAGGCTCTCTACCACACTTCCATCTGATTGGAATCCAGCGGAAAAGTGTTGTACACGGTTATTTCCTCAAGGGAGGGAAGTGTCTGATTTGTTTACACAAAAAGATTACCTTGTGTTAAACTAATGATTCTTTTTTTTTTTAAGTAATGATTCTTTTTTATTTTTTCTTCAAGGATGACTGCTGTGAAGAAGAGAAGTTGACAAATGCCCGAGACCTGAAAGGAGAAACAATTTTTTTGGGGAAAAAAAAAGCCCTCTGCTATGAATATCAGTTTCACAATGCCAACACAGAGTGCTCATGTGAAAGAGCATGTTTAATTACCTCAAATTAGCTACCTCAAGGCAAGGAGCAAGAACTTAGAAACAAGTGAACAACTAAGTATAACAGGAACTTTTTATGTAGAAAAATAAGTTATGTTTCAACAATTTGTTTAAGGGAGAGGAAGTATGGTGGAGATATGGTAGATGGGAAAGTTTGTTCAGAGTCATGAAGAATGGCAAGAAGACAAAAAGAAGCCTGAGACACTAAAAGGGAAACTTCTGAATGCTTTCCTAGAATATCTGGACTGGTGTGAGTTTGTAATACCGGAAATGCAGATATTTCAGAGAAAATACAGTGAGAAAAACTAAATGAAGAATTCATAGCTGAAGTTAAAATATGATCCGAAAAAGAAAAACGTTGAGGAAATAATGAAGAAAACGTCTATAAAGCGCTCTGAATTCCTCAGAGATAGGCACTGAACAAACATCATTACCAGGCGCACGTTTAACAACAACATCTGTCTATAAAAAATGCAGTTCTCCGCCATACTAACATTTAAAAAGAGCTCTAGAGGACTGAAATCATCT